ACAGTTGTCTATGCAAAATACTTCGTATTCGTTGGTCAGACACCATCAGCAACAACGTACCGTGGGAGAGAACAAAGCAGATTCCAGTGGAGGAGGAAATCAGGAAGAAGCGGTGGAAATGGATGGGACATACATTACGGAAAGCACTCAACTGCACCACAAGACAAGCCCTCACATGGAACCCTCAAGGCCAAAGGAAAAGAGGAAGGTCAAGGAACACATTACGCCGAGAAATAGAGGAAGATATGAGAGGAATGAACAAAAATTGGACAGAATTGGAAAGGGAATCCCAGGACACAGTTGGTTGGAGAAAACTGGTGAGCGGCCTATGCTCCATTGGGAGTAACAGGCGTAAGTAAGTAAGTAAGTCAACCCTGTCGGGTGTAGGTAGTAACTACCAAAGGCAAATAAATGGGTGAGGTCGCGCAAAATCTCTTGATCGATCCGAGTTAGACATTGGCACCGTTGGATGTCGGCCCAGTGGTCCAGAGTTTAGGTGTTCGCGCACAATACCGGGTTCGAATCCTGAGAGTTGCAGGAGTCGTGGATGCGCACTGCCACTGATGAGTAGTAGTCCCATACCAGGACGAAACCCCCATCTTTCAGTGCTTCCAGGTTTCTAATGGTGTTCTAACAATGATTGATCGATTGATTAATTGACTTCAAATATGTAAAAAATACACTAATCTCCATAACTCTAACTGAAAAATTCCTTCTCAATTTTTACTAATTGTATTCCTATATAATTGGTGTATTGTTAATATGTTTTTCAAAACATACTAGTTTGCATTCTAGAAAAAAATAATTATGAATAATCATTCATTTTCTTTAAATGAATTATTTATTATTCAAAGATGAAAGAACTAAAAGTAAGGTCAAGGATAATTAAAATGACAATAAATTAATTAACTGATTAACTGATTAATTAATGAATTCGTTAATTATATTTAAGGCGAAACCATCAATACATATTCACAATAATATCTTTTAAAAATATATAAATATATATTTATACCAATGATATTGTTTGTTGATTAACTTTGTATCAGTAATATTAATAATAACAATAATAATATTATTATTATTAAATTTATGAATAGGAATTATTAATTATTATTATCGATATCCCATTATTGCATAACTAATGCGTGTAATATGACCAAAGGTAATTATTGACCAGGAAATAATTATTAGTTGATTAAAGTACACTAAGTTTAAGTAAATGTTGTTGTTACTGAGGTGATAAAGTTATGTTTTTATTTGCTGTACATATTTATCAGTTCTTAAAACTTGTCCGATAGGTTTGTTTGTGTCAATAATTACATTTTTAATGGATAAAGTTAAGGTAAGGTAAGTTAAGGTAAACAGTAATATACTTTAACAATAATATCTAGAACTCAAAACAACTAACAGGAAACACCAAAGTTACAGTTGTCAATATACATGTCAAGACATTTCTACTGTATGGAGCGGAAACTTAGAGAACTAGGAAAGCCATCATCCTCAGGATACAAGTTTTTGTGAACAGTTGTCTAAGCAAAATACGTTGGATGCGTTCGCCAGACACTATCAGCAACAGCCTACTGTGGCAGAGAACAAACCAGATTCCAGTGGAGGAGCAAATCAGGGAGAAGCGGTGGAAGTGGATAGGACACAAACTGCGAAAAGCATGCAACTGCGTCACAAAAGAAGCCCTCACTGGGAACCCTCAAGGTCAAAAGAAAGAGGAAGGCCAAGGAACACATTACCCCGAATAATGAAGACAGACATGAGAAGATTGAACAGGGAGCGGAAACAATTGGAAAGGGAGGCCGAGGACAGAGTAGGTTGCACAATACTGGTGGGTGGCCTATGCCCCATTGGGGGCAAGAGGCGTAAGTAAGTAAATATACTTTAAGAAAGTTGTGCTGACAGATGAACAAGGCTGTTGGTTTTTTGTAGATCGATTTTAACCAAATAACCACTAATAGGGTGGTTGTGAAGGAATGGTGATCTAGAGCTTTTTACTACAACGAGGCAATTGTCTACCAATTCCTACTTTTCAATCGTTGTCAACTTATGATCGATTGGTAATGTAAATCACAAAAAAAGTTAACATTCTGTATAAACCTTTTAACTGATTGCGCGTAATCTCAGTTTTTTGTTTACCAGTATGCAAATAGTTTAGTCAAGAAACGGTATAATTTTAATTGATATTAAAAGTAAGAAAGTTAGATAATTGATTTTACAACAGTTTAAAATGATCGGTAATTTTTTCTGATGATAGCTACACACCTACTGTTATCTGATATTAAACTAAATGTTTACATTTTAATGGTATCGTTAAGTTTGAAGTAGGGCTTACCACTTTTAGTGACCCGTGAACTCTGACTTCAAACTGGACGAATGACTAGATGAGATAAATCTTCTCTTCAATTTCCTGCTTGTGTAAGGGGCAGTAGTGAGGAACCGAATATGGTTTTCGTCGGACGAATTTATTTCAGTCAATCATTCACGCAGACAGACATGGGAATATCACGAAGTGTAAAGGTAAAGCGAAGCATAGTGGAGAAGGCGAGCAAACCAACTCGGTGCGTTGATGAGGCATGACTAACTAACTATCTATAGTCGGAGAAATATGAGTCAGACATGCGGTCAGACTCAAATAGAAACAACCAAGGTTATGAGTGAATAATAGAAAAGGTCGAAAGATGGGTGAATAGTAGTAACTGGGACAGGAAAGGTTGATTAATTAGTTTGTTCAAACACTAGAAAAAGCCATCTTTTTATCAGTAGGAGAAATGTTTCTGCGTTTCTACTAGATCATAGACGTAATTCGAAAATGTAACGTGAAGGATTGAAAATAAAATTCATTTTTTAAATCCACTCATCGATCACTTGTTGAGTACCTTTAAGCAAAATGACAATTCTAAAGTATTTACAGAGCTTGAAAGTTTCTGATCAATTGCATACAACCGACTAGACCAGTGAACATACTTTATTATATCTTAAATGTTCCCATCGATAAAGACTGATGAGCAGCCAGTGATAAATAGGAAAGATACTCAAATATTTATATTATAAGTAAGATGAGAATTCTAGACGAAACAGTTGGCATTCAACGTTACGTAATAGTGGCTTAAAAATTATGATGTAATGTAATATGACGACGTGGTGGCTGGCAAATATGCATTGAAAGTGAAACTTGTTGAAATATTCCATATTTTCTGTACTAAACATATAATATTGATATCATGAATGAATCATTGTTAGACCAGCAATAGGATCCTGAAATCACTGAACAGCCGTTTCGTCCTGGTATAAGACTCAGCAGCAGTGCACATCCATGACTACTACCGCTACTCGCAAGATTCAAACCTAAGGCCTTCAGTCTTGCACGCGAACGCCTAACCTCTGAACCAGTAAGTCGGTGTCCAACGGTGTTAATGTCTAACTCTGATCAATTTAAGGATTTTTCAAAATCATAATATTGAGTATAAAGCAATAGAAGAACAATCATTATAACATAAACATAGCTCTTAGAAAATATCAACACAATAAGAGTCACATGTTTAGAAGTGATTGCAGAGAAAGTAATCAAGAGAAAATCACCAGATAAATAAATGCTTATATCTGTATTAAGCGGTAAACCAGAGTTTGCAATAGAATAAAAGCTGTATTGATTTAAGACCTTAAAACGGAACACAAGAATCATATCAAACGACTTCTTTTGTGAACTGCTTTTTGAATTTGAAGAAAAAACAACATTTGTATTGAATAGAAGAGATCCTACTGCCGTGATTACCGCATTATGAAGAATTATAATTAGTAATCTTATTTGTAAGAGTTTTTACGCCTCCGTTATTCTTGTGATGAACTGAAATTGACCAGTCTATTCTGTCATATGAGAGCATTCTTTTGACATTGTAATTTAATTATATTTTAACTAAACGACAACACAGAAGAAATCCACACAAAGTATACATATGAAAATAAACGTTGATCATTTTCAGTCTTTAATATCAACGACGGGAAAAATTCAATTCCTACACGTTATATGAACTAGAAACTAATTGGACTGGCGTTTAAAACAAAACATATTTGGTCTCAGTTTCCGCATTAACATCAACAACAGTGATATGCTACTACATCCAAGACCGGAACCTGAGTTCTAAATTACAAACTCAACTACTTTAAATACGCTTTTAGACCTTAAACATTTTAATAAGAGCACGAAATTCATACAATAATATTGATTAAGTTACATCACAGCTACCAACAGACGTCTACAGACGTGCTATTGTAGAAATTTGCGGCTGTTTTACATTCTATATTGACTTTTGTAAAACCACTATTAAAAGCCATGGAAGAATTATCGGTTTAGAATTATTTTTACAAGACATCAAATTGAGGATCATCAGATCATAGACTGTTAAGTTAGTTAGTTTACCTTTAGATAATTGAGTCTATGTTTAAAACTGTTAAAGAGTTTTAACCACCTTGTCATGATTCTTCACGATAACTCTTTGGAAGTCTGTCTTCCTAAATTTCAAGTACTATTGTGGTGCGCGCTACTTATAAGTAGTATATGACGTGAGTGAAAACCTAATGTCTGGCAGCAGAACATGGGGGAAGATCAAGAAAGGAAGAAGAGTGGGAACACAATGGAATTTGTATGAAATGCATGAACAGTGGTGAAATGTCAGACAATGGATTGATGATGGATTGAAGATTTGCAAATTAACGATTTACGATATGGTTTTCCTATTTTACTGATTAACTCTGTAATTTGCGATAAATACAATTCGGTTGCCCTCACCTGTGTTCTCCCTCACTACACTATTATTATAAGACTATATACCATAAATGTTAAAACTATACTTAATAATAGCGAAAAAAACGTTTTTAAGCACTTTGAGTACATATCAAAATGCCCCCAAGACTATAATACGATTCATCAAAGTCAGATTACACTACATTACATAACATTACATTACAAATTAAAAAAATACGCTGCTTACTCTTAATAATGCTTTTTCTGGATGATCATGTACAAGATCAGTCGACTGACGTTTTTCACGATGATATAAACATTCTTGTGTAATATGTAATGGATTTTCAAGTTCAGCGAATACTTTTTCAGCAATTCGTTTAGCATCATTTAATTTATTCATTTCATTGACAAGTGCGTCAATTTCATCATTTAATTGATTTTTCATATAATTTATATCATTAATTCTTTGACCTATAATGATTATTAATAAAAAAATAACAGTAAATATATAATATATAATGGTAATATTCGTAAACTTAAACTTACGCCTGTTACCCCTAATGGACGTCGACGTCTTCATAATCCAGTCGATGACCAGGAGAAAGAGAAAGGGTGAGAGTAAGCAACCTTGTCTGACACCGGTCTTCACCTCGAAAGAGTCTGTTAGCTGTCCTTCGTGTACGATTTTGCAGTTGAATCCATCATAAGAATTCCGTATTATGTTAACTATTTTCTCAGGCACACCGTAGTGTCGAAGAAGCATCCATAGTTTTTTCCTGTACACGTTATCGAATGCTTTCTCGTAGTCAACGAAGTTGATGTAGAGTGGTGAATTCCATTCAACTGATTGTTCCACAATGATCCGTAATGTTGCAATTTGGCCACTACACGGTGAATCTTTACGAACTCCAGCCTGTTGATCTCGAAGTTGGGCGTCTACGGAGTCCTTCATTCTGTTTAACAATACCCTGTTGAAGACTTTGCCTGGTAATGAGAGAAGAGTGATGCCTCTGTAGTTCTCACACTTGTTGAGATCGCCTTTCTTTGGTATTTCGATCAGGTATCCTTCTTTCCAATCTAATGGTACTTGTTCCTCATCCCAAATCTTCTTGAAGAGGATGTGAAATATTGTCGCAATTGCTTCTGCATCTGCTTTCATTGCTTCTGCTGGAATGTTGTCTGGTCCTGCTGCTTTGCCGCTCTTGATTTGTCTGATGGCCATACTGATCTCCTCAATCGTAGGTGCGCCAATATTAATTGGGAGGTCCGTGGATGCTGCTTCGATGTTGGGTGTGTTCAGTGGAGCTGGTCGATTCAGGAGTTCTTTAAAGTGCTCTACCCACCTATTTCGCTGTTCTTCAGTGTTGCCGGTTACTTTGCCTTCCTTGATTTTCACTGGTCGTTCTGGTTTGCTATTACTACTATTATTATTACTTTTATTGCAGTCCTATTGAATATAATCTATTTTATAATGGATTGAAATACTACAGCACCCTACATACACCTGAGTTTGTTTGTTTGTTTAAGGCCCTTTTATCAACTGATTTAATCAGACAGCGCCATTCCTATAGTCAGTCAGTCAGTAAGTTACAGCGTAGAACTTCGTACTTACGTATATCGGTTCATGTTGCCATACTACACTAGTACAGAGAAGCAAATGTCATTTCGAACCACACCAGAGATAGTACCGGTCTATATCATTGTAGTTTGATTATTGTTACACTTCTATGAACAGGTATGATCTATGTGGTACGGATATGAAGTCAGTTAGTTGCAACGTAGAACTTCGTAAGTATGTACATAAGTTCAGGTTGCCATACTACATTAGCACATGGACGCAAATGTCAAATCAAATCCCATAGTGATAAAGATAGTAGGGGTATGAATGGTTATGAAGAAGACTAGGGTTAGAAAATATTATTCAAGAAGTATAATTCAGTGAGATAAAGTTAGAAAGACAAAGGTAGGGTGCTGACGAATCCAGAAGTTTTGGATTTGAGAGAGCACAATGAATGGACGCACTTGCGCAATTGCTAACGATTTTGAGTCATGTCTTTCAAGGTCTCTAACCATTGGTGACTTTCGTCTCGCGGACCCCAACCAGGTAGTCTACATCTACCAACATGACTCAGTCCACTTGTCAGTGACTTATGGATTTCTGCCATGTTTTGGTATGGCCGCCCCTAACTTTCTTCCAACCTACTCCTACATCACAAAACATAGCTCGTCGAAGCAGTCGGTGGTTAGACAGACGTAACACATGTCTCAACCACCTCAACTGATGAAGTTTTAATACTTCATCTATTGATTTGCCATCCTTACTTAGTACTCGTTTCCTAACGACAGCATTGCTTACTCGGTTGTCCCACGATATACAAGCAATGCTTCTTAAACATCTGTGATCGAATACTAGTAACCTACGAACATCTTCTACTCTTAACGGCCATGTTTCGCATCCGCACAGGAGAACGGAGCGAACGGCTGCGCAGTACACCCGTCCTTTGGTTAGCGAACGGATATCACGCCTACGCCATAAGTGACGCATGTTGGCAAAAGCCAATCGAGTTTTCTGTATCCGAGCTGAGAGTTCGTCAGTCACCAGGCTATCAGCGCTGATGAGACTCCCCAGATAAGTGAAGTATTCAACACGCTCGACTACTTCACTCCCTATCACTAGTTCAGGTATGGATATGAAAAGCAAACGACACTTTGTATTCGTCTTCTGATGTATACACTGTTGGGCGTTATCTAGTAACGATTATCAGGCCGAAAAGTATATGAAGTTTAAGGAATAGAAATCGAATATCCACCGACTCGATGCGTAGATATTCAGTAAATAAGTTTCATACAGATTAATATCAACTAATAGAATCATGATAAAAGCATTTCTGAGAAGTTATTATATATTTTTAACTTACAGAAACAAGGCGAACTAATCAAAGTACAACAACACTACAACAAACTTGTGGAAAAGATTTGATGTTTTGAGACAGGAAACAATTTTTTAAGGAGTTTTAAACAAATTTCAATTTTAAAATATCAAATATTATCAATCATCATTAAATTTTTCATATTCTCCTATGATCGTTAGCCATAAAACACTCTTCCCTAAATGTCAATCGAGTCAATTACCATCATCTCTATTGATAGTTACAATGTCTTATGAAACTATAATAGCCGGTCAATTTCAAAGCAGCTGATCATCGGTAAGAGATTCGAAGGAGTGTCACTAACAATGTGCTACTGTTATTAACAGTATATATAATAGGTAGAGTAGTTGATGACAGTCACCTTTTGGAATAGCTGTAGGAATGGCCATTGCCACTTCGTAAAATGTATTCACATCTATTATCCAGTATTTTTCTACTAACTAGTAATATCTAACTTAGAGGAATAATTATATATTGCTATTTATATAGTTAGAAAGTTATATTTCATTGATCTTATAACCAAGTAATTCACTAAAAAAGCCGAGCGTAAAGCAACAATATTTACTATATATTTCCTGCTAGTAGAAACTTCATGAGAATCAATATTTTTAAAACGTTTCTCATGGGAATTACAGTTGATCTGATTAAGGCATGTCTGTTAAGGACAAGATGTGTTTAACTTAAATTCATTTGCTGAAATAGAACTGACTATATAACAAAATGAATCGTTTTTGATTCGACAGAAATGACAGTGGTGTTAGTGGTATCAACGCTCAATGCAAGCAATATATTTGTCTAATTAATTAAAATTTTAGTCTAAAATCAGTTGGTGGGATAAAGTCTGACATTTATTCATGAAATGTTTTCTTTTCTAGTTAAGGATTCTACATATCCTTTTCATGTTGTACCCAAAAGGTTGTACGCTTCCGGTGACCAGACCATTATAGTTATTCATACTTCCGATAATTTGGGTTTCAGTACTTTACATGATGTCAAGATCTTAAAAAAATCAGCTTGATCGTTCTGGAAATGTTTTACAAACAATATTACAAGAATTTACACATTGAACAATCTTCAGGTGTTTGGATTTGCTGTTAAACGTAGAAACTTTATCAATGTATGAGGTGACAATGTTATCTATCAGTTCATTACGTATGTTACATTATTTTGTCTCTATTCTTGACGCGAGACTTGTGTGAATTCACGTAGCTAAATGAAATCTTTCTCAATTAAAATCAATATCCTAAATAAATTTTATATTCTTAGTGGTTGTGAAGGAAACGACAGACACTGACAAATAATAGAGGCTTATTTTGGACGCATTGATGTGATTGATTCAAAGCCTGTTACATACTGGTATCTATTTTAGTTCCTATCTTCCTCTGAAAATTTTCAGCTTGATTGATGTATGACTCTTTGTCATACTCTTTTATACTATAAAATCATTGTGACTTAGACAGAATCTACATACTCTGTTTTTTCTACCCTGAGCGGCTAGCTTCGGCATAATTGTATTTTCTAAACTGTTGTACGTTGTTATCTTGCAAATGATACATATTTATTCATGTTTCTTTTCCAAAAATTGAATTGGAAATAAATCAAATAGTGTTCCAGTTGATTAGTTTTCTCTATCTTCCACATGCTAGCCAATCCAGTGGTGATAGAATAGTTTTCGTTGCTCAGCCAAGGCTGTTTAGTCATAACCTAACTCATGTACTGCTAGTCTCAGGGTTAGCTGGATAATGTTTCACGTTACGGACTTTAAACTGTATTCAGAAAAAAATTATTTATAATTAATGGCAGACGGTTTAAGGCTGTAACAAAACGTTTGTGTACTCTCTACTTTCTTGGAAATCCTAGTAAAAAAGAGATGCTCTAAAAGGTTATATGTTTATAAATGATACTTAAGATTATCATATATAACGATTCTAAAACTTACCAAGTAGCTTGCCAACTTCTTGTTGTGCTCGTTTGGTTCTATCATCTGCTTCAATTCCTAAACGCTCTCCGCTTTCTCGTATATGTTCAGCTTTCTTTCTTGCTTGCTCCGAATTTGTCAGTTGATTTACGTTGTCCTTATTCCAATCGGCCAATGTATATCTTGTGCATAAGGCGTTGCGTGCAGCTGAGTATACGGAAGGAACTCTCAAACCTTCCAGTTCATGCAAATCTAGCCAACCCCCACTAGCGTTAACCATGGGACCCAGTTGCGCAGACTTAGCACCATCAATATAAGATAAACGGTCAGATGAAAAATAAGACTGAGGACGCCAAGGTGCAAATGACTTAGTGTTCCTATGTGTGTAAATAGCTGGATAACTACCTTCCGTTATATTTTCAAATCTTCCTGTAGATCCCGATGACTGTAAAAGATCTGGTAAATTTGATGCACTGTGACTATGTTGAATTGGTCTTTGGAAATAACGTTCTGTCATTAACTCCATCTGTAAATAATTCGTTAACAAGATAAATGACATGACTATTATCGATTACGTATTCTTATTTTCCAAAAGATAACTGAACACTGTTATTTAAACTAGATAGTATTGTATAGAAAATAACCAAAATCCGCATAGACTTACGTAGACTTTAGTACAAAATTTTGAGGGAGTCAACATATTTACATTTAGCAATGTCTAGCGTTTGCTCTACAAATGTATCTTACAATTCACCTATGGCTTAATTGATTCACGAGAAAGTTTGTTTGGGAAAGAAGATTAAACACATCGTTGCCTAAAGTCATGAGGTATTTAGTGCCCCCAATGAAGTAAACCAGATCATTCTCACTAACGTTACGGGAAGCCTACATAACGTACCTAAATCTTATCAAAAAATCTATATTGGAACCAATATTTGACATGGATTGGCAAAGTAACTACCGAATGAGGTTAATGCTTTCGTGATAATTTGTAACACACTTAGTAGGAATGTTCAGAATTGAAGCAAGTTGTTGTTTATCTTTGCTCGAAAGTCATTTCTGACGAGTTTTAGAAGCTTCAAGCTGCTGGTCTGTTACTAAATTTATGATATTATATTGCAGCGTTAGATATTTTCACACTATGTTCACTAAACAGTTTTATTTCCAAGTGAATCACTATAGGTCTTTAATCAAAATCAATGAACTTTCTAAAAAATTAGCTCAGCGAGGGTACAAAAAGGGAAAACCGGGTTAGATTAAAATACAAACCTAAGAGGAATATAATCCAATTGTAAATAATTTCATGTACCTATTTATGTTGAAACTGATAGCAAAATAACCAGAATCAAATAAATAAAAACACAAGTTGTTTAAAGTTGCATATCAAACATAGGGTTAATTTAACATGGAAATTAAAGCCTCAATTCGCTTGTTTCAAAGCTAGTTAGAAAACAAGGAGTTAGTAAATTACGGAACCGTAATTTGTTAGCCTTACCAAAGCAATAAGAGACGATCAAAGAAAACAATTTGTCTATAATAGCTCGTAAAAAATACTGGAACGGCCTCTGGACATATTCTCCATACGATAATGCGTGTTATCGTCTAAATCTCTTATAATACAGAAAAAACTTGGCCATAATTACTACTCAAACCTGACTTTGGTGATAATGTGATTGAAAGCTTGTCCGTTATGATTCACATCAATTTATGACGAGCGAATTGCGCATCTCTTGAAGCTTCCAAAAAAACACACTTTATTACATAGTTCTGATAAACGTAGTATTAGACACTATGTTATCACTGGGACGATAAATATTAAAACATCAAAAAACATTGTTGCCTAGTAGATAATGTAAACTAATGATTAAGAACTCTCTCATAGTATGTTATTATTAGTATGAATTAGATAAAAAAGTAATTTTCAATCTCTAATACAAATTGAAGTCTGGCATATTTAAATCATCCAAATTTCCAAAATATCATAATTATAGAACTGTTTAGGCCACGCACTAAAAAAATACTAATAAGGATAATATGACGCTACATATTAACTGTACAAGTACAATTAAACGCACAATGAACGTTTGAAAATGAGACTAAATAACTAGTCCGGCTTTATTGCTCTAGCAACCAATAGATATGACCTTCAGTATTCAACATTCAATATCTTTTTCGTTCTCCCTTTATTCTCTCAGTACGAGTTTATGTATTTCGCAAAGCCCTTTGGATGGTATACCAGCCAATCGACTACTTTAATTGTACTCATATGGCAGTTATCTATGAATATGTTTGTCCCATGATTCGAATTAGTGCTCGTGTTGCATGGCAGTAGGATTAATGGAAACCAGCAGCTATGACAACTCCGCCAGTAGAACCTTAGGGGCTACTGCCAGTCCAAAGCCCGGACAGAGGAGGAGGGCTGGACATGGGGTTGGCGACCCCATTCCGTCAAAAACTAACTTGCCAAAAAACGCTAAGCAGAAAAACTAATTCAAACCATTTTAACTCTGCCCTGGGAGTTGGAAGAAGAATTATGAAGTCTCGTGATGAAAGCCGAGTTCCCTCGGAAGTCACGGGGCCGATGCCTCTTTTGACAACCAGAGCAACCATTTTTTTAGGTACATGGAACGTTCGTACATTGTGGGAGACTGGAAGACTATTTCAAGTTGCGGCAGAAATGAAACGATACAACCTCGAGGTGCTTGGAATCAGTGAAACGCATTGGACACAAGTAGGACAACTGAGACTAGCTTCAGAGGAACTGCTGTTATACTCTGGTCATGACGAGGAAAATGCTTCACATACACAAGGAGTTGCACTGATGCTGTCTAAACAGGCACAAAAGGCACCGATAGGATGGGAATCTCGTTAACCCAGGATCATTAAAGCATCCTTCAAAACAAAGAAAGAGGACATTATAATGAACGTCATCCAATGTTATGCAACTACCAATGACTACAATTATGACGTTAAAGATCAATTCTACGAAAGGCTGCAGTCAATCGCAGAGAAATGTTCACCAAAGGATTTGACGATTCTTATGGGAGACCTAAATGCAAAAGATGGTATGGGCAACACTGTATATGAAGACATCATGGAACGAAATGGACGGGGAGAAAGGAACCAAAACGGCAAGAGATTTGCAAACCTATGTGCCTTCAACAAACTGGTCATCGGTGGCACAATATTTCCACACAAGTGCATACCCAAGTCCATATAAGTTTCACCGGATCACACTACTCAGAACCAAATCGATCATATCTGTGTCAGTAAAAAGTTCGGAAGGACTGTGGAAGATGTGAGAACCGAGAGAGGAGCTGATATAGCCTCAGATCACCACTTGCTGTTCGCCAAAATGAAACTGAAGCTAAAGAAGCACTGGACAACGGGGTAGACAACATCAAACAAGTTTAACACGGCCTTTCTTCGGGATACCGTAAAACTCAACGAATTCAAGATAGATCTCAGCAGTTGGTTCCAGGCTCTGCAGGATCTACTCAATGCAGAGGACGCAAAGTTGGAGAACAATTGGAAAGGGACCAAAGAGGCAATCACTTCAACATGTCACGAGGCTCTGAGTTACAAGAAACACCATCACAAGTAATGGATCTCTGTTGGAACTCTTGAAAAAATTGAAGAAAGGAGGAATAAGAAGGCAGCAATCAATGTCAGCCGCCCAACAGAAGATAAATTTAAGGCAAAAGCTGGATAGACAGAAGCAAACAGGACAGTGAGGAAGAGCATCAGATCCGACAAACAGAAATATGTAGACGATACTGTAACGACGGCGGAAAAGGCTGCAAGAGACGGAAACTTGAGACAGTTGTACGAAACAAAAAATAAGCTCGCCGGAAACCATTGTAAACAGACCAACCAGTGAAAAGTAAGGAAGGGAAAGTAATCAGCAACACTGAACAACAGCGAAGTAGGTGTAGAGCACTTTCAAGAACTCCTGAATCGACCAGCTCCACTGAACACACCCAACATCGAAGCAGTATCCACGCACCTCCCAATTAATATTGGCGCACCTACAATTGAGGAGATCAGTATGGCCATCAGACAAATCAAGAGTGGCAAAGCAGCAGGACCAGACAACATTCCAGCAGAGGCAATGAAAGCAGATGTAGGAGCAGCTGCGAAAATATTTCACATCCTCTTCAAGAAGATTTGGGATGAGAACAAGTAGCATCAGTTGGAAAGAAGGATATCTGATCAAAATACCAAAGAAAGGCGATCTCACAAGTGTGAGAACTACAGAGGCATCACTCTTCTCTCATTACCAGGCAAAGTCTTCAACAGGGTATTGTTAAACAGAATGAAGGACTTCGTAGATGCCCACTTCGGGACTAGTAGGCTTGATTTCGTAAGGATCGATCGTGTACTGACCAAATTGCTACATTACGGATCATTGTGGGACAATCGATTGAATGGAACTCACCACTCTACAAAAATTTTTATTGAC